CTTAAATATACGGAATCTATATATCAATAATTAAAAAATAATTTTTTAAGGATTATGCTGAGATGAATAAAATTCTTTTACCCTAAGTTAAAGGTTTCGGGTTTAAACTATGAATATAAAAAAATCTTAAAAGAAAGTGTTTTTCCATTTAATGGATCTTACACAATGTGCATTTGGATTTATCGGAGCCATAAAACGGATATCGGATGGAAATTAAAATAAAAAAGAGGTTAAAAAATTGTGTATTACTTCAAAAAGAAAATATTAGTACAAGAAAACAAAAAGGACCGTTCTAAGAAAACATACAGTGTCAGAAAATTAAACTATTTTTAAAGCTAAATAAAAAAGTTTTTATCTCGATATTTGTGCCTGTTACCAATAAGAAAGCAACATTTTTCCCTAGACAAAGGATATATAAATATTTATTTGGTCAAAGGAAGCTGCAAATATATAGTATGTGTGAGTTCAATGATTGAATGTCACGTTAGGATCAAATTGGGTTCTACCAGTAATATTTATTGAGGCTTCATTTATCCTTTCTAGTATTATTATTTCATTTACCATAGTCTTTTTTTTTTTTCTTATTATTATTATTTTTGTAATATTTTAATTGGGGGCTAATATATATTGTTCTTTGCCGACATAGAGGCATCTTTGAAGTTTGAAACTGAAATATAACTAATGCAAGTTGTATGGAACAGGAGTGGCTAGTGTCTAATATTAGACTATGTAATAGTCAACAATGTAATACGTAGTCAAGTAGGAACAAATTTGTGTGTCTGTAAAATGAAATAATATTGTAGTTGCTATGCTTGAAATACAGTGAAAATAGCACGGGCTAGTCAGTTTTTGGATTGATAATTAAAAAACAGTTAGCATTTGCAAAGTCATTGAAAAATAATTACTTTTCTGCGGAGATAAAATCTAAACAAAAATACCACAGCCGAAACAAGGAAAGTTCCATCATAATATAATGGATTATGGAGCTCCTCCGTATAAATTTCCAGCATATTATGTTGGAACTCCATCACACTATGAAATTCCAACACATTATGATGGAATCTCATAAGTAAAAAATTCAAACTCTACCTTATTAATTATGCTGTAATTTTTCAGATTATTAAAGTACTTTTGTTCAGATTTTATCTTTACATGAAAAAAATGGCTAAATTTCAATTACTTTTGAAACTATAGCTATTTTCAATTACCGGCTAGTTGAAAATAAGACTATTTCTGATTTTTTTTCCCCTGAAATATAGCTTCGACGGTGTGATTCTTTTTTTACCCTTCCCTAAGCTATGATTCAACAGGAAATATTTGAAAAAAAATTAGCAATGCAAATATTTTCACGAAGAACATTGGCTCCTTTAAGTTTTATGACTTTTTAAACATATTTGCACAGTAAATAATGAAAGAAAGAAAAAGATTTTCACTCTAGATAAGTCAAAACAGCATGTACATTTTTTATTCTTTAATTCTATCATACTAAAAGAAATCAAGGTTAAAAAAAACATACAGCATTATCATTAACGAAACATAATTTTAAAAAGGAAAAAGGTAAATAACATTAAAGGCACATTAAATATGTAGCTCAAGCTGAGTCTCAATATATATATGAATGGAGATATATTAGAAATGTCAATATATATACATTTTAAGAAATATAATGAATTAGTTCTCTATCATTAGTGGGGATTGATCTATTTCTAAAAAGAAATACACATAAGTATTAATTATGGAGACATGGTATATAATCACAATAGAGAAGTCCAATTAAGGGGTCGTTTGGTTTGAATACGGCTTATGCCGGGATTAGTTATACTAGTATTATTTTTTATCCATTATTTGTATGTTGTATTAAAAATGACAATTGCATAATTTCTAAGAAGAAGGTATAAATTATCCCGGCACTAATTACCCCATCCTCTATAAGGTATAAGTTATCCCAGTACTAATTTTAATCTTGGGATAACTTATACCTGGTTTATTAACCAAACAAAGTATTAAGATGGTATTAAATTTTTATACCAACATTATACCTTCTTATACCTTATACCAAGCGACCCCTAAGTATATAAGATGACTAGTATTAATGAATGAATAACAACATGAATCGAACTTATCATGTCAGGGTCCTAACTCCTACCAGCCTAATTGGGTTGGGTTTCCCTTTTTCTGGTCATTTATATTTCAAACGACAATGTGAATATGTGATAACAATATTGATAACAGTGACCTACGCAGTAGTATTTGTTGGTTTTTTTAAGCTTAATGTAGCTTAAAAGAGAGCAAACGGAAAATGGAGGTAAAATGAAATATTTGAGTTTCATTTGACAATGGGATATTGTCCCGTATTAGAAGAGGAAAAGGTTTTTGATGGGTATATGTATATATTTGCTCTTCTTCTAGCTCTTAAAGAGTTAAGAAGAAGGCAAGCCTCGCGCCGTCGTCGCTCGGCTTCGGCTTATTGATTGATTGATTAATTTTTTGGACTAAATTTATTTGTTAATAGTAAATATTAACAGAAATGTTATTAAATATTGTTTCTTTTTGTAAACGCACAAGAAAATTAAATATTAAATCCAACGAATATAAATATTAAATCCAACGGAATATTAATCATTATCTGTTATCCTTTTTTCATTTCCCATTTTTGTAACTGAAAAGTTGAAGTTCCTCTTCGATTCCCGGTCTATTGTTACATAAATAGCCATTTATTTTATGACATTTATGTTATGGCCGTCTCTGTTTTAAAAGGCAGAATTGGGACTCGCCCGGGACTCGCCCTGGGGCGGGGCACTCGTAAAACGCCCCTGGACTTATGTGTGGGACTTAGTTCCGTGAGACTTACGCCTCGGTCATTGGGACTTACGCCCCGGACACGCCCAACGCCTTACGTACTGGGCTCGCCTAATAGAACTTTATACAATTGTGTGTGATTAACCTTGTAAATCCTCAAATTTTCTTAAAAAATCGTTAACTATTCAAAATTACTTTTTTCTTAATCATAAATCATTAAGTTGAGAGTAGTTTATGTCATAATTAAAATAAAATTTATTGCATGTCATTCACTAAGATTGTTATGATCGATAGTAAATTTTAAATAAATCTTTCTTTTAAAAGTATTTATTTAATAAATTTTGTTATGTCTTTATTATATTAGTCCATAATTTTTTATAATTATTTTCCTAAATATTATTTATCATGTCTACGAAATATAGTACTTATTAATTTAATAGCTCAGTATTAGCTAGTATTTATAAATAATTAGTTTTCATGGTATAGTATGGTGAATTATGTGTCACTTTATTAACTTGTTGAAACTTAAAAATAAATGATGCTAGAGAATCATATTTAAACTTTGAATAATATTTTGATATAAATTCTCTTTTAAACAGAAAGCATATTAAATAAAAGGAGTATTTTAAAAAAAAATATCAAATTATAATATCGAAGTTCTTTCAAGATTCATTACTCCTTAAGAGATACATATAAGATTTCGCATCGAATACGTACTTTTGATGTTTCAGTTATAACGATGTTGCAGCTAATTTGAATATTATGATATATGTCAAACTTTTTGTATTATTCATAGTTGAATTATAATTTATGAATTTTTTAAATAGATTATTTGTTATAATTTTGTGATTTTAATGTAATTTTTGTAATTATTTTTATTTTATATTACCTTAAAATTCTTGAAATTAGTAAAATTTAAAGATCCGTGGGACTTACGCCCCTTGTCTCAGGGCTTACGCCTCGCCTCGTCAGAGGTAAAACACCTCGCCTCACGCCCCCACCTCTTAAAACATTGATGGCCGTTTTACATAAACAACCCTTCTGAAGAGTTGCACCTCTTCAATTTGAGCTCAACATTGGCTATAAATACAGTCCATTCTCTCAAATTTTTCATACGATTTTCTGAGTTCTCCTCCTTTCTTCTGTCTTGTTTTAACTTCAAAGAAAGCAACAGTAAGTGTAATTTGCTACCGATCTTTGTATTCGCTAAAACACTGGAGTTTGAAGTACTGCTACACCAATGTATAATTCGTTCTATCCTGGAAGGTAATAATCCATAACCTTGGGTACTAGGGATTAAATTCCTTAAGGAAACACTGTGAATTCAGTGGGCTCAGATTAAATTTTATTTCAGTTTTTCATTTCTGTTCATACGCTATTTTATATTCTCCAGAATTATTTTTACGAATACATGATACTAAGAATATTTTGTAGAGAATATATCTAAAAGGTTTGGCCTTCGGATCAGTCAGGCTAATGTGATCTTGTTAGATGATATAAGGGCAACACTGTAATTTTACCTCTTTATGTTAGTTATTAACCAGACCCCACTCTGTGGGAATATACTGGGTAGTTGTTGTTATGTTAGTTATTAAGTAAACGTTAGTTAGTTAATAGATGTTAGAGTAGAGGTTAAGAGTTAGTTTATTACACCTACTATATATATCAATGTACTGATAGTTTTACATTTAATTCAAGTAATGAAAATATACTTCCTCTATCATCTCTCTCTATCATTCTCTTCTTTGTATTTTTCCTTCTCCTCCTCAAATTATAACATGGTATCAGAGCATATGCTTGAAAAATCAAAGCTCGTGTTCTGAACTTCTTCTTCCGCATTCTTTCTTCTGGAAAATCTTTGAAACTCTGAAATCTTGATATGAAATTTTCGGATTCTAAAATTCTTGGAAAAATTCTGAGTTTGAAGCTCTGCATGTCATAATCAAATATTAGATTCTTGACAAAGATTCAAAGAAATCAACAATGGCAATAAATGAAAGAGTACCAATTTGAATTCTGGGCAAAACACTGGAAATCAAGCAAATCCAGCAACTGGGATCGATTACAATCATCCTCTTTTCCTTTCTCCTGCTGATATTAGTGGAATTCAGATCATTTTGTTCCAATTAACAGGTATTAAAAACTAGTCAATTTGGAATAGATTTACGCGAGTTGCTTTGTTAGGTAGAAACAAACTTGGCATGGTTGATGGTACAAGCAGTAAGGATAAGTTCCCAGATGCTATGGGGAATCATTGGGAACGTGTAAATGCCATAGTTCTATCTTGGCTGATGAACTCTATGGCTAAAGGGCTTCTTGGAGGAATTATGTATGCCTCTAGTGCGCAAACTGTTTGGGAAGACTTAGCTGAAAGATTCAATAAAGTAGATGGCTCAAGAACTTTAAATTTACATAAAGAAATAGCCACTTTAACTCAAGGGTCTGCTTCTGTCTCAGTATATTTTTCAAAACTTAAAGATCTTTGGGAAGAATTTGAGGCTTTAGTTCCTGCACCTGAATGTGATTGTCCTAAATCAAGAGATTTTGTTAACTATCTGCAGAAATTAAGGCTATATCAGTTTCTAATGGGGCTGAATGAGTCCTATTCACAAGCTAGAAGTCAAATTCTTATAAAAATCTCATTATCTACTGTAAATCAAGCCTATGCCTTAATAGTGAGTGATGAAAGTCAAAAATCTGTAGCTGCTAACTCTGGAATAGTTGGAGCTAACCCTGTAGGAAATTTTGAAGTTGCAATGTATACTAGGCATGGTGCAGGTGGTCAAGGTCAAAGGTTTAAGAAAAACTTCAATTTGCAATGTGATTATTGCAAGATGAAGGGTCATATGAAATAAAACTGTTACAAGCTTGTTGGATACCCTCAAGAGTTCAGACAAAAAAAAAAGGGGATATAATGCAGCTCATAATGTCAAGTTCCTGAATGAAAATGTTGATAATCAAAATCAGAATTCTAATACACTTACTGTTGCATATGGAAAAAACACAAGTGGTTTAAAGCAGTCTGCTTGTGGAAGTCAGGTGTCTTATGGTCAAGGATTAGAAGAGGTTGCAACCCAACTAAGAAACTTCACATTCTCAAAGGATCAATATGATCAAATTGTGCAGCTGTTAAACAAAGGAGTAGCCTCAACAAGCATTAACAATGAAGATTCAGCTGCCAATACAACAGGTACAGATACTAATACAACACTGTTGATCTCAAATGGTTCACAGGATTGGATTATAGACACTGGTGCAACAAACCATATGGTATCTGATACCAGTCTTCTAAGTGAATCTACTATAATTCAGACAGTTAATCCTAAGAAGGTTTTGTTGCCCAATGAAGATGTGTCTCTAGTTACACATACAGGGGCAATCTCAATTTCTGATAAGAGTACTATACCTAATGTCTTTCATGTGCCTCAATTTAAATATAATCTTTTTTCTGTCTCAAAAATGACAAAAGAACTACAATGTGCTGCAACATTCTTTCCTGATTTTTGTATTTTTCAGGATCTCTTCACTGGGAAGGTAAGGGAGATTGGTAAAGAAGTAAGAGGACTATACATACTACTAGCCAGATTGGCCAGGAATAGACAAAAAGCTGAGTATATTGCAAGAGGATTAACAGCAGAAGAAGTACACTCAATAAATGTAGAGCTATTGCATCAAAGACTTGGACATGTGTCTGTTATAGTAATAAAGAAAATACTACCCATCAGTATACAGAATATCAAAAATAAAATAGATAGTTGTACAATATGTCCCTGTGCTAAACAAACTAGATTACAATTTCCTTCTAGTGATATCAGAAGCATGTATTGTTTTGATTTGATTCATGTAGACCTATGGGGTCCTTACAGAATAGCTTCATTTGATGGTAATAAGTACTTCCTTACAGTTGTAGATGACTACAGTAGAATGACATGGGTATTTCTTCTCAAGCAAAAAATCAGATGTTTATCAATGCTTACAATATTTCATCACTTTTGTCCAGTTTAGTAAAGTCATCAAGGTCATTAGAACAGACAATGGTACAGGATTTGTAAATTCTTTGTGTGAGCAATTATTCAAAAATCTTGGAATGATTCATCAAAAGACTTGTGCATACACTCCTCAACAAAATGGAGTAGCAGAGAGAAAGCACAGACATGTTTTAGAAATAACAAGAGCTATAAGATTGCAAGCTAATATTCCTATAAAGTTCTGGGGTCATTGTATTTTAGCTGCAGTATATATTCTTAACAGATTACCTAGCTCAGTCATTGCAAACAAATCTCCTTATAAAAGGTTGTATAACAGGAAACCCTCTCTAAAGCACTTAAGACTGTTAGGGTGCTTATGTTTTGCTAAAGTAGTTCAAGAACAGGACAAACTAATGTCTAGATCAAGGGTATCTGTGCATATGGGATATTCAGAAGTTCATAAAGGCTATGTTCTATATGATCTAGGGAGTAAGTCATTCTTCATCAACAGGGATGTAATATTCAAAGAAAATATATTCCCATTTAAAAGAGCAGAATCCTCTTCCACTTCTATATTTCTGGATACTACAACCAATGTAGAATCATACATGCACAATTCTGATGCATTCTTGGAACAAAGGTTTAATACACTAACAGATACAAGAAATTCAAGGAACTCAACTACGGCCAATGATAGTGTAGCAGAGAACTACAACTCTGAGTCAGTGCAGGATTTTCAAAATCACAATACAACTGAAGAAGATATACAAACATATCAGAACTATCACAGCACAACAGAGGGGGAGTCACAAGCACAACAGAACTGTCAAAGCTTATCTACTGCAGCTCCTCATAACAGAAATCAAGTGATTTCAAATGAACTTACTACCAGAAAATCCACCAGAGATAAACAACCACCAGTATGGCTGAAAGACTTTGTCTCCCTAAACATTCATCAAGAGGTACCTTATGCATTAAACAAATATATAAGTTATGATCCCTATATCCTAAATATCAAGCCTGTATTGCTGCTTTTTCATCAACTACTGAACCTACCTCATATGTTGAAGCAAGCAAAGATCCAAGATAGATACAAGCCATGAAAGAAGAAATAAATGCTCTTGAAGGTAATAATACTTAGACACTAGTCACATTACCGGAAGGTAAGAAACCCATATGATGTAAATGGATATATAAAATTAAATACAAGGCATCAGGAGAGATAGAAAGATTTAAAGCTAGATTGGTTGCAAAAGGGTACAGCCAACAAGAGAGAATTGATTATAAAGAAACATTCTCACCAGTGGTAAAAATGGTGACTATTAGAATAATACTAGCTCTAGCAGCAGCTAAACAATGGCATATACATCAAATAGATGTATACAATGCCTTCTTACAAGGTGATCTACTAGATGAGATCTATATGGACTTACCACAAGGATTTAGCAGTCACGGGGAGAAGAGAGTATGCGGACTCACTAAATCCTTGTATGGTCTGAAACAAGCTCCTAGGCAATGGAACTTGAAACTAACTAAAGCATTGTTGAACAACTTACAGTTCAAGCAAAGTCAATTTGACCACTCTTTATACATAAGAAAAATAAAAGAAAGTATGGTGTTAGTTCTGATCTATGTTGATGATATGCTGAATATTGGAAGCAATCTAAAGTTGATTCAAGACACAAAAAATGCTCTACACAATATAAAATGAAAGACTTGGGGGAGCTAAGATACTTTTTGGGATTAGAATTTGCTAGATTTGATAAAGGTATTGTTATGAATCAGAGAAAGTACACATTAGAGCTCATAGCAGAAGTGGGATTAACTGCAGCAAAACCATCAACTACACCAATTGATATCAACACTAAACTTACAACAAAACAGTATGATGAGCACATTTCAAATGATGGAAGAATATTTGAAGATCCTACTGTAGATCAGACAGCTTATCAAAGGTTAATAGGTAAACTCTTGTACTTAACTGTCACTAGACTAGATATAATCTATGGAGTGCAAACTCTAAGCCAGTTTCTTCAGCAACTAAAGAAATCTCATATGGAAGTTGCCTTAAGAATTGTGAATATGTGAAAAATAATCCTGGACAAGTTATACTACTATCAAGTCAATACAATACAACCATTACAGCATACTGTAATGCAGATTGGGCAGCTTGTCCAGTCACTAGAAGATCCATCACAGGTTTTTTGATAAAGGCAGGCAATTCTCTAGTGTCTTGGAAATCAAAAAAATAAACTACCATATCAAGGAGCACAGCAGAAGCAGAGTACTGAAGCCTAGCTGCAACTGTAGCAGAATTAACTTGGCTAGTGGGAATGTTAAAAGAAATCAATGCAGAAGTAAAATTGCCAGTGGATATATTTACTGATAGCAAAGCAGCTATTCAGATTGCTGGTAATCCAGTCTACCATGAAAGAACCAAACATATAGAGATTGATTGGCAATTCATAAGAGAAAAAATTCAACAAGGATTATCTGCACAAAGTATATGCCTACCAGAGATCAACCTGTAGACTTGTTTACAAAAGGACTGAACAAAGTTCAACATACATATCTGAGTTCCAAGTTAGGTGTCTTTGATATTTTTACACTGCCTAAGTTGAGGGGGAGTGTTCGATGATATAAGGGCAACACTATAATTTCACCTCTTTATGTTAGTTATTAAGTAAACATTAGTTAGTTAATAGTTGTTAGAGTAGAGGTTAAGAGTTAGTTAATTACACCTACTATATGTATCAATGTACTGATAGTTTTACATTTAATTCAAGTAATGAAAATATACTTCCGCTATCATCTCTCTCTATCATTCTCTTCTTTGTATTTCTCCTTCTCATCCTCAAATTATAATATGAGGTGGAGGAATTTGAAGGTGACAGGGGCACATAAGCAAATTGCTCGACTAATATCCCATTGGACTTTTTATCTTAAGAGTTCGAAACAAAATATAGAAAAATTTGTCAAGATTAATGTGACGACCCAAAGGGGTTATCACCGTGAGTTCTTCCTTTCCCGTGCTTCTGAGGCCTCGAAAACCTCTTGTGTGGTTGTCTCGATTTGCGTATGCAATCCGATCGCAAAGCCGGAATATTTTTATGTTAAAAAACTTGAATTATATGTTTGAAATGATGAATTTTTAAGTATAATATTGATATGGTTGACTTCAGTCAGTATTTTGGGTAAACGGACCTGGACCTATAATTTGGCGGTCTCAGAAAATCCGTAGGAAAATATGGGACTTAGGCGTATGCCCGGAATCGAATTCTGAGGTCCCAGGCCCAAGATATGAATTTTTCCGTAAAATTGTTTACTGAAATTAATTAAGAAAAATAAAAATTGATCAAAAAACAATGCTATCGGGCTCGTATTTTGGTTTCGACGCCCTATGCAAGTCATAAATAGTTGTTAAGTGTTATCTGTGAAGTTTCATTTGAATCGGACGTCGTTTGACGTGTTTCGTACTTAAAATGGAAATTTTGAGTTTTATGTGTTAAAGAGTGAAATCATGGTTTTGAGTCTTAATTTTTTGTTAATGATGTTATTTTAGCGATTTGATCGCACAAGTAAGTCCATAGGATATTTTTGAGGTGGTGTGCATGTTTGGTTTGGAGCCCCGAGAGCTCGGGAGAGTTTTGGACAGGTGTCGGGTTCATTTTGCATGGTTGGTACCTGTTGCTGGTGTTTTAGACCTGCAGGCTTCGCAATTGGTTCGCATTTGCGAACAGGTCCAGGTCCCAGCCAATCTCGCAAATGCGAGTTCCACTTCGCAAATGCGAAGTCTCCTCCCTTCCTTCAGTCATCAAAAATGCGATGACAATCTCGCAATTGCGACCTTTCCCCAGACCAGCCCAGGTTCGCATTTGCGAACTCCCACCTTGCAAATGCGAGTCCCCCTTTGCCCTGTCCCAGTTCGCATTTGCGAATGACCTCTCGCAAATGTGAGGTCCGCATATTCTTCAGCCCTGTTCGCATTTGCGACTTCTTTCTCGCAAATGCGAGGTCCGCATATTCTTCAGCCCTGTTCGCATTTGCGACTTCTTTCTCGCAAATGCGAGGTCCGCATATTCTTCAGCCCTGTTCGCATTTGCGACTTCTTTCTCGCAAATGCGAGGTCCGCATATTCTTCAGCCCTGTTCGCATTTGCGACTTCTTTCTCGCAAATGCGAGGTCCGCATATTCTTCAGCCCTGTTCGCATTTGCGACTTCTTTCTCGCAAATGCGAGGTCCGCATATTCTTCAGCCCTGTTCGCATTTGCGACTTCTTTCTCGCAAATGCAAGGTCCTCTTCTTTGATGCCCAGTTCGCAATTGTGAATTCTATCTCGCAATTGCGAGGTCTGTGTCTGTGCAAAATATACTTAACCGATTTTAAATGTCCATTTTCATAACTTCAAAACCCAAAACCCCCTTGGCGATTTTCTCTCAACTCTTCCTTCTCCAAATCGATTGTAAGTCCATTTTTAGTTGTCTCCTTCAATCCTTATCATCATATATCATGATTTCATCATTTAATCAAAGATTTCATGGGTTAAAAATGGAGATTTGGGTAGAAACTAGGTTTTCAATAATTTGAGCTTTTGGGCCTCGATTTGAGGTCCGATTTCAATTCTAATTATAGATATGAGCTCGTGAGGGAATGGGTAACCCGGTTCTGATCCGAACCTTGAGTTTCAACCACGTGGGTCCGGGGGCATTTTGGGAATTTTTGGGTAAAAGCTTGGGAAACTCATTCTTATGCATTCAAATTAGTTTAACTAGCATTTGTTGATTCATTTGGGTAATTTATGATTAGATATCATTGTTCAGGAATCAGATTCTAGAGTAAAGGCGGTGTTAGAGGCTTGATTGCTATTTTTTGGCATCGAGGTAAGTGTTTGATCTAACTTTGGCTTGAGGGATTAGGATTAGGACATTATTTGCTATGTGCTATGTGGTGTCGGTGTATAGATTTGGTGACGGTTACCTATGCGCCCGGGTCAAGCATGACCGTGGGTCTCAATTGCCTTTGTTTAATATTATAATATAGATTCTTGTTGTTGAATTGATTCACATGATATAAATTGTTGAATTTAAATGAATAATATGACTTAGAGAAGAACTTAATGTGTATTTCCTTGCCGAAATGTATAAAATTCTGTTGTAGACTCTCCCTTGTTGGGATATTTTGGTTGATAGTTGCACCCTTGCCGGGTTTAGAGATATATATTGTTGTGTTTTCTCCCAAAGGGGCCTATTGATGATTGAACGGAATTGGTATTCCATGTTGCTGGGATCGTGTGGCGCATCGTCCACTTGTATATCATATTCTGGGATCGTGTGGCACGCCGACCACCCGTGTATCATGAACTTGGGATCGTGTGGCGCGCCGTCCACTGTTGTAGACCAAATTTGGGATCGTGTGCCGCGCCGTCCACTATGTATTTTTGGCTTAATTGGGAATCTGTAGCTTTATTATTGTGTTAGACTTGTTCTTTCTATCTTTACTGTTTCCCCGATAGCATGTCCCCTCCCCGTTTCACTTATGTATTCTGTTATTATTCCTACAATTGTATAGATATATCTTATACAGGTTATTTGCGGTAGGTCCTGTCTAGCCTCGTCACTACCTCGCTGGGGTTAGGCCAGACACTTACCAGCACATGGGGTCGGTTGTGCTGATACTACACTTCTATGCCCTTTTGTGCACAGATCCGGGAGCAGCCTTCGGACAGCAGCAGCAGCAGTAGATAGGGAGCACGCCTTCAGTCCAGAGACTGCTAGGTAGCTTACTGGCGTTCGTGGGCCCCTCAGTCTCCTCTCATTTATGTAGTTTGTTTCTTGTTTCGGACAAACAGTCTATGTATCTCTTTCTTTCAGACCACTGTATGTAGTAAATCGTAGAAGTCCGTGAGTGCTGTGATACAATTTCTGGGTAGAGGTTCTAGTTGTTTCTATTTTTGTACTATATTTCTATTATTAAGTTAAGTTTGAGACTTCCGTAATGTTATTTTCTGTTTCCATTTATTATTCCGTCAAATTTTATAGTTGTTTATTTTTTGCTAAGTGGCTTGCCTAGCTCCAACAGTAGGCGCCACCACGACCCCGATGGTGGAAAATTCGGGTCGTGACAATTAATAGGTCCGGTGATCCCTCTGCTCAATACATAAGTCCGTCTCTGCATGCGATGCCGAGGTCAATGAGGAATATATATATATATGCACAACAGTTTGAATACAACCTTACGTATTTACCCTCCTTTTTTACCCTAATTAACTTAGAGTTTATTGGATTTAAGATTTTTTATAATATTAGTGTAATTTAACCTGTGATAGCAAGCATGTACTAATTTTTACTATGTTAGAGTCTTACAAAAATTTAATTATCTTATAATTAAAACCTTATTGTGGAAAAATTAATTCTTTACATTGTTAACGGATAGAATTTAATTAAACTCGAGTTTAAAATGCATGTTAATTATTATCATTTTTGAGAAACTACGTATACCTAAACATGAATGACTTTGTGAACCATATGCATATCCCTTCATATATTACTGTAAACAACTCAGTATCTAGAAAGTCAAAGACTCCATTGCTATGTATTCAAATGTACAGATAGAATGTATGCATTTAAACGAATAGTACAGACATGCATTTATTAAAATGATTAACGTGTAAGAGGAAAGATATATTGGCTGGAGAAAGGATCAGAGGGCGGTGGCTTGTATAAAGAAAAGATTGTTTTGGTCAGCAAAAAGTCAGATTTCTGTCCTATAATTAAACCTATGCAAAAGTGATGGACGGAGGGTTGTTAGATCTTGACTGTTTTATCATCTTAAATTTCAATTCCCATGCAATGCATTGCATGCACGCATCTATTAATATTATTACTATTTTTTTTTTTATTTTTTTTTTTGCAAAAGCGGTATGTCTATTTTACGTACGTGATAGTAGAGGTGGAGTCACAATTTGAAATATATGAGTTTGAAATAATCGCCCATTTAAGTTTGCTGGGTTATAACAACAACAACATAATATCAGTCTTATCCCATACCGTGGGGTTTGGGGAGGGTATTGTGTACGCATACTTTACCCC